AATGGCTTTTAAAAGGCACAGTATAAACGTTATGTGAATAAATAGGTATGTTCTATTGCAAGCTGCTGCATTTTACACAAACCTACACTACAAAATAACTGTGGTCTCAGTGAAGTTCAACACTAATGGATGTACAGTATAAATATACTTGCATAACAGCTTCTTTAATCTTGCCTGTTGCAGATTTCTTTATTCGTCTCTCCTTTTGAAACAGAATTGAGTGTTCTGTTAATGAAACTCATTTTCCTTTATCCCATTAAAATATGGAAAAGGGGGATTGCCGATGTGCAGATCCCAAGCAGGCTGTTTTTCCTGTGGCAGAGGCTGCCTGCAAGTAGCCCTATGCGTTGTTTCTTAATAAGTGTCACTTTTTGTAATGACAACATACTTGATTAGAATCCCACTGGATTTTTTGCATTTTGGTGGCTCATATGCAGTACTTAGTTTGTTGTGAACACTTTTAAGCACATGCACGCTCAGTGTAGCTTATACTTCCTTTGTAATTTCTTTCTTTTTTAAAAAAGCTTTGTTATTCTCTTTAAAAATAATTTAAAACCTGTATAGTATTCAAAGCACGCAATGTAAATATTTATTACTCAAAAAAAAAAAAAAATAGTGGAGGGGTTTTGGGGGGTGAATTTTTTTAAAATCTTGTTCTAATACAATGTCCTTTTGACTTGGAAAAGGAAATTAGTGTAACCCGATAAACCCACTCTATGTTCCCTTAAAGAATGTCTGTTGGTTTGTTTGAACATTATAAATATATTTTTAAATTTCTCTGATACCTTTTTAGTTTTGGAAATGCCTGTCCAAAGAAGATGTACAGTGTTTCAAAACTTCAAGCCTACTTACCTATACATTAATTTTCTTACCCTTTTCAGTTCAATAATCTTAGAGCTGACAGTGGCATAAACAACTCTTGGGTGTGCATATATATGATTGCAGAGAGTAGTATATCTGTATATTAATGGTGGTAGTTATTCTGTCACTAAGCGTACATCAGTATTCTTGCATGGTAACTTGGCGCTGTTGCGGAGTAAACCAAGGATTTCGATAAGGGAATGGAGTAGATTTTTATTCCTGCAACCCACCCATCTTTTTCAGGTTACATGGCATGGTGGTGTAACAGCATGACAGAATACAGTTAACATAGGATGATTATTCAATTTACTGTAACACTAGATTTCATTGCGATGTAGTTTCAACAGAGTTACAGTGCCGGGGTCATCTTTACCACTAGACTATGGAAAGTAGATGGGAGTCCATTACTGACTGCATGCCTTGGAGAACAGTTATATGGCACATTAGAAAATGTCTTGCTTTTTCAAGCAGTGCTCAGCAGCCTCATGCCATGCACTGAAGTCCACTAAGGAGTAAATGAAACTGGGAACTGATAGCAGAACCCCTCTAGTGCCAAGTGAATTAACCCCTCTAGTCATTGAGGATTGATGTAGGGTTCTCATTTCAGTCTGCCAGTAGAAGAACACAGCTTCTAATAGTGTATTAAAACAGTCACCTAAGAGAAATCAAAGCACTTGAGAAGCTATCAGCTAAGTGTTATTGAGTAACAAAAGCCTGCATTAGTACACTCCTCCAATGTGGTACTTGTTTGGACAAAATGTGTATATGGCTAAGACGGTGAGGCAAGCACTATACACACACAGGTATCCCTATTTGAGCTCTTCCTCATGCCCACTCAACACCAGCTTCCTTTTAAAAGATACTGAAATCAGTCTATATTATAAACCTGCTTGATCGACAAGCAAGCCTACAGAAGCATCAACTCCTAATTGACCACGACCAAATTGAATCCTAACGTGGTCATCCAAGCATCAAGCATGAGGAGAATGATCAATTACTCCAGCCCTGCAAGATTCAGAGTCAGAGCAGCCGTGGGATTTGGCAGGAAAGCTGCTAACCCCCAAAACTGGAACTCGCATGCAAGAGAAGCAGAATCAAATAAAACCAATTCACTGGGGGAACATACAAACATGTCCAATCTGACTTTCTTTTTGCAAAGATGAATGGTTTGAGCCGCCTCCTAGGAATCTGAAAGGTATCTTTCTCCTCTTGTTTTGTTTTCATGCTTTTAAGAGCTATTTCCTCCTTCAGCTGTTCACTGTAATAGAAGTATCATTTATGTCACAGTATTTATTCCTTACAAACCTTGTGTGACATGCTAGGGTTCCCATGGATGTAGCTGATGATTATTTTGTAAATATTAATTACTTAACTATACATAAAACTGTATCGTAATAAACTATTTTTGCACCACCCTTGGCATGCTGTGGAGAAGATTTTTGTTAACACTAGAGACAGAGAATAGCATTCCAATGTTTTTGCATCCTTCAATTAGGAATAGAAGACAACAGTCAAGGATACTATGCTTACTAATAAAAGGATCTATGCAATACAATTGTGGAAAGCCTCCAAGTACTTCCATCTGCTCTGGAGAGGCATTTCAGGGCAGATACACAGCAAAAATAGCACACGTGAAATTATTAAATGTCCAAAGAATTTAATAGTACATAAGGATGATTGTAGCAGCTATCCCACCTGCTTTTACCCTTCAATACAAGTAAGTACAGTGGTGCCCTGCAAGACGAATGCCTCGCAAGACGAATGCCTCGCAAGACGAAAGGGTTTTTCGTTTTTTGAGGTGCTTCGCAAGACGAATTTCCCTATGGGCTTGCTTCGCAAGACGAAAACGTCTTGCGAGTTCTTGCGAGTTTGTTTCCTTTTTCTTAAAGCCGCTAAGCCGTTAATAGCCGCGAAGAGCCGTGCTTCGCAAGACAAGACTCGCGGAACGGATTAATTTCGTCTTGCGAGGCACCACTGTATTGAAACATTTTATGAACTATCATTGGAAGGCCACAACGATTACAGTACACCAATTACTAAACGGCTTCAAGAAAGGCTGAAGCATTCTGAACTAGTGATAAATTACTATTAATTACCACATATTGTTTCTGTATGTGTTTTGCTGGCAGTTTTCAAAAACTAAAAGCTAAATGAATATAGCTGCTTTAAAACAGCATATGACCCTGGAGAAAGTTCTATGACCGTGATCCACTATCTTCCTCCCTCCTCCTCTTTGAGGAGCACACAACATATTTATTTAAGTCACTACAGTGTACCCACCTCTTGGGTACAATGGAGTTTCTACTGTATCAAGAGTACTGTGATAACCACACATACAGTCTCTTTGGAACAGCTTCAATACTTTTGGAAAACCACTGACAGACTGATTCAAAGCCCTTAAAACTCTGGTGTCCATAGAATCATAGAGTTCTAAGTCCAACCCTGTACAATGCAGGAATCTCTAGTATCCATTGACAGATCACCATCTAACCTCTGCTTTAAAACCTACAATGAAGGAGAGTCCACATCTTCCAAAGAGAGTCTGTTCAACTGTTGTACCAGCTCCTACTGTCAGAAAGTTCTTCCAGATGTTGAATATTCCTACCTCAACAGTTCCCTCCCCAAACTGGCACCAAAAAATACGCTTACACCAGAGTTGCATTTCTACACTTGGGATATTGGTTATGGCTACAACTTACATGCCAACATAAGGTACCTCTCAGCCTTATTCTGCACCCACCCATTTATTAGGACAGGCAGGTGTTTTTTAGTATACCCTCTTCAAATGTGATATTCCAGCTGATGTTGGCTGCCCAGTGGCCATCAGTCCCACCCAGGATGGCTAGTGGTCAGGAATTACAGTGGATAAAGTCTTAACACCTGCAGAGTCACAGCTTCCCCACCCACTGATATACCAAGTTCCAGTTCTGTTTGAGATTCCTCCATCACAGGGAGTTGACCTTAATTCTGTGATTCTAGGGCTGAATTCTACACATGTACAGTCATTGAATCACAGAGCTATAGAGTTGGAAGGGACCTCCAGGATCATCTAGCCCACTCCCCTGCAATGCAGAAATCTCAACTAAAGCATCCATGACAGATGGCCTAAAAAACCCCAAGGAAGGAGAGAGCACCACAACCTTCCAAGGGAGTCCATTCCACTGTCTAACATCTCTTACTGTCAAAAAGTTATTCCTGATGTTTAGTTGGTATCTCCTTTCTTGTAACTTGAATCCATTGGTTCAGGTCCTACCTTCTGGAGCAGGAGAAAACAAGGTTGCTCCATCTTCCATGTGACAGCCCTTTAGATTTTTAAGATGGCTAACCTATCTCCTCTCAGTCTCCCCAGTTCCATGCAAAACATACCCAACTCCCTCATAGCGTAAGGCTTGATTTCCAGACCCTTGATCATCTTGGTTGCCCTCCTCTGCACACGTTCCAGCTTGTCAATATCCTTCTTAAACTGTGGTGCCCAGAACTGGAAACTATTCCAGGTGTGGTCAGACCAAGGCAGAACAAAACAGTAATATTACTTCCCCTTCCACACATGAAAGAGCAGCATATGAATTATCTGTGAGTTAAGCACACACATTCATGCCCATTCACACAATGGGCATTTATTTTCAAGTAGGTCTCCTGCTTTATGCTGCTCATCTACAAAGGCAAATGGTTCTATTCTTTTTTTATTTTAAATTTATACCCCACCCATATGGCTGGGCTTCTGGGTGGCTTACAGCATATCTAAAAACATAATAAAAACATTAAACATTAAAAACCAAAGGGGACAAAGCTGTTCAGGCAGCAACCATTTTAGGTGCATCCGATATGGGCGCAATCACACACACAAACATTGCACTGAACTCAAAAGTAACCCGAAAACGTGTCAAAAGGGGGCGGAACAGAGTATTTGCAGGCTTTTTCAATCATATTTCAAATATATGTGATTTAACTTAAACGTGCAGTGCCTCAAAAAGTAAGCGCCACATAAATTTGGGAGTTGGCTGTATGTTAAAAGGTCCCCGCCCCCCAGTAACATCCTGCATGTGGATACTAGGGTTGCCAAGAGAATGGCAGAATAAAACTTCTTGAAATGCTATCTACATGTGCTGACAGCTGTTTTTACAACAGAAACATATGTATTAGAATTTAAAAGGCATGCTTTATTTAAAAGGTATAATAGCACACAAGTACAGGCCATCTATTTCTCAAAAAATAATTCAAACAGACAAATATGTTGCTTGTACAATTTTTTAAAGGAGCATAATTTGCATTTAGTTACTCCTAAAGCAATTTATGCCATTCTCAAACACCTAACTTAGGAACTAGTCTTTGGACTAAAAGATTTACTGCTTCAAAATAGTCATTTAAGCTGCAATTTTGTTTGAGGAATAGTTTTATCCTTTTTCTGTACCTGCTGTTCTTCTTTGAGGAAAAATGTGTAATGAGCTGGATTGTAGTCCTCCCAAATCCTTTCAAATTCTGCCAGGAAAAGATTCACACAGTCCCTGTCTTCAACTACCAGCAGGTTCTCTCTGTTGTTTTGAATGGCTTGAGTAGTCCAGTTCAGGGAGCCAGTGATCAGCATTTTTTTGTCAATGATGGCAAACTTATGGTGCATGTAGCCACTATCCTGATCATGACGTACCTGGATGCCTGAAAAACCAGCATACCCTATTCAGTGCCACAAAATCACTTTTCCATCTTTCCACCAAACTGACTTAGCTCCCAACACTATACTTAGTGTACTGAGAGCTACATACAGAAATTCAGTGGCTGAAATTTCTTAGGTGCAAAAAGAACTTATGAGGACACAGGGCAACTTGTGGAATTATACCCTGAAATGACTTAAAAGTTAAATGGCGTTAAACAGACATGACCGCCATACACGCTGCCCAGGCTTGCACCCTGGAGAAGTAAATGCAGTGCTGCTAATGCAACAAAAACAACACAGGAGGCAGCAGTTAATGATTTACCATTCTCTGCAGCCACAGTTTGACTTCACCCTGCAAGTCACACTCCATTTCTCTAGACAGATGGAGGCCAACAACCAAGTGGTTCTGCTGGGGTTGGGTGGGACTGCTGAACGTTGACTGTTGTAAAGTGAAAACAACAAAATACTTGCAGGGTGGGGTATGTAAATGACAACTCCGCTACCAAATTCAGCGTAATTATTATTAAATATATTTTATACCCCGCTTTCCTCCCAAGTTGGGACCTCATTACAAATTATGAACAACATTCATATCAGAAAGAACTTTAGGAGAGGATTTTAATCAGAGTGGTGGGGCTTGTTTGTTTCTAAAAAGAAAATGCATCGCAGAGATTTCCAACGACATAAAACCAGACAAAACATAAAACCAGACAGTGACTCCCCTTTCTGTGGAATGCTCTCCCCAGGGAAGTTCATCCTTTACTGGCCTTTTAAATGTGTTTGTGGGAGGGGGGTGGGGACGGGGTCATTGTTTTGTCTTGCTCTTGTTCATCTTTTTACTCTTCTTGACTTTATTATGTCGTTTCTGGGGTGTGTGTGTGTTTTTTTAAAAAAATCTTGTATTTTTATGTTGTGAGCAGCCCTCAGATCTGCGGGTGAAGGACGGTGTGCAAATTTAATAAGTAAACAACGGGTTAAAATCCGCCCGTCGGGTGTTTTCTGGTTTGTGGCGCCCGCCTCGCCGGGGGTTGGGCTAGACGACCCTTGAGGTTCCCCTTCCGCCTCACACCGCCCTCCCTCCTTCCCTCCCGGGCGACTCACCGGCTCTCCGGAGTTCGCCGATCCGCGACCCCTTGAGGGCCATGTAGTCGGTGTCGGTGACGACGCGCACGTGGACGCCCCTCTGGTGCAGGAGGCAGACGGCGCGGCCCAGCTGCGGGTTGGAGAAGGCGAAGACGCACAAGTCCAGCGAGCGCCGCGCCGACAGTACGCGCGCCAGGAGCCGCCCGAGCGCGCTCTCGCCGTGGGGCAGCAGGCACGCGCACGGGGTCGCCGCCGCCGCCGCCTCCTCCTCCTCCGCCAGCAGCGACTCCACGCACGTCACGCGCGACGGGAAGAAAAGCACCTCGCGTACCGGGGAAGGCGGCCGCTGCCACCACCGCCACCACGACGACGACCGACCCAGCCGCCCTATTAGCCAGCAGGCCAGCGCCTCGAGAGCCATGCCGAGCCCCACTGCTAGCAGGGCCCGCGCCTTGCCGCGCCACATCGTCGCCTCAGGGCGCCACGACGACCAGCGTCCCCGCGCGCTCCTCCAACCGCCTTTTTTTTTCCCCCTCCGCGCATGCGCCCCTCCGCGCGCGCTATTCTCTCAGCTGCCTTGTCTGTTAAATTGCCACAAGCGCGTGCGCTCCGTCCCGCTCAAACGTGCCTTCCCACGCCAGGGCGCATGCGTCCGTCCGCGTGCGCTCTTTTCCTCTCAGCCGCTTTTTCTTTTAAACTGCCGTGGCGCATGCGCAATCTTCACTTCATCAACCTTTTTTGGACGCACGCGCGCCCTCTTCAGCTCGAGTGCTTTGAGGGTTTTTGTCCCCTCAGAGCGCTGCGTCCACTACAGCGCATGCGCTGGTATTAAGGCTGTAGAGAACATAAAACGGCAGGCGCGGACAGGTGGCGCATGCGCACGCGCACATGCCACAGTTTCCAAGCGTCTCGTTATGTTGCTTCCAGCTGCGCTTCGAGTTTCGTTTAAAAGAAATGAAGTTCATTTTATCCATTTATAATCCTCGGCTTTCAAAACAGCATCCGTCCAAGGCAGTTTAGGATACAGTCATTGCAACCGCTAACAAACAAGTGATAACAGAAAGTTAACCATAAAGTTTTAAAAAATAAATTTATATAGTTATATATAGCTTTTAATTCTATCAATATACTTTTATAATTATTTTTCTCCATGTTGTAAGTGGTTCTTATTTCTTTATCTATAAACCGCCTTGAGTTCCTGCCAGGGAAAAAGGTGTATAAGTATAATAATAATAAATTTCACTTGTGCTATATATGTAGTTTTTAAGTAGTTTTCCAGTTTCATTGTTCTGCATGGGACAATGACAATAAAGATATATCATATGGAATAAAACAGGCTCCAATATTATTATTATTATTATTATTATTATTATTAAAGCAAAAGTAGATAGATATAGGATATGGGCTATCCCAAAAAGCTTACTTTGGGTTCATACTTTCACGCAAATAAGGAACTGAGAACTAAGAAACAACTTAAGCAGTGTCCCTTTACATACAGTGGTGCCCCACAAGACGAATGCCTCACAAGACGAAAAACCCACAAGACGAAAGGGTTTTCCATTTTTGAGTTGCTTCGCAAGACGAATTTCCCTATGGGCTTGCTTCGCAAGACGAAAACGTCTTGCAAGTCTTGCGATTTTTTTCGCTCCCCCCCCCTTTTCTAAGCCGCTAAGCCGCTAATAGCCTTTTAGCCGCTAAGCCTTTAATAGCCGCTAAACTGCTAATAGCGCTAAGCCGCTAATAGGGTTGCTTCGCAAGACGAAAAAACCGCTAGACAAAGAGACTCGTGGAACGGATTATTTTCGTCTTGCGAGGCACCACTGTATGTTTAAAGCCACGGCAACCTGATTTTTTAAATCAAAAGTTGGAAACTTTGCTTCAAAACTACAAGACGCAGCAGGTGTGTCTTGCAGAACCGAGACATGCTGAATGCTCTATTTAGACGCTCAAGGTCGGTTGATTCAGTGGCGTGAAAAAGGCCCCTTGTCCTTTTTTTGTATCCAGTCAAGATACAAAGCCGGCTTATGCCCCGTGTGGATGCTGCAACCATCTAGGGCAGGTACGTCCAACTCCCAACAGACTGCGATCCACTCACAGTATTAAAAACTGACAGTGATCTACCCATTGTCGTTGGATAGACCAACAAAATTTTTTTGGAAAGCAAAAGTTGCTGAGCCTTGCCCCCCCCCCCCAACAAAAAATCCTGGCTACGCCCATGACTGAGAGTCTAGCCCCCTTTCATTTTAGAGTAAGGAGGGATCAAATTCTTAACCAGCCTCCCACATATTAAGCAATTCGACAAGCAGATAGCTGATTTGAGGGTATGTTACTTCAAATGGAAAGTGACTTGCCCATTAGGCACTGTTTTACTGGGCTGAAACAGTAAAATCCACATTTTCCTCATAGGGGAAAAAATACAGCATTTTTTTTATTGGTTCGCAGTTTTACACACTCTTTGAAATAATTAACAAAAAATCAATAAGGACCTGCTAACATCTCCAAAATGGAAAGAATAGCTAGTTTTGTTAGAGGAATCTTCCTGTAGTTTAGTATAAATATGTTAACCGCATACGCCAAGATAAAAAATGTTAAAATCAGACACCGCAAACCTAGGCTCACCTATTATTTTTTTCACTTCTCCCCATTTTAAAATAAAACATTAAATATTTTAAGTTTAGGTTTTCTTTCCCAGCAAAGGAGATTTGTGGAGTTTGTCCACCATCACCTTAGTTATGCAATTAGAAATAAAAACATCATGGGGTAAGGGAGTGGGGGGAACTACGGTAACTAATCTTTACGTTCTTGAACACGTTTCAAAAGAAATTATTTCTGCAAATTCCATTTCACCAGAAATAGGCTGTGCAGCAGCAAAAGCTACTACCTCCTAGGCTGGGTACAATTGGGTACAATCCATTCAAAATCAATCTTTCAAGTCCCACTGAAACCAACGGCAGAGAGTTAATGGCACCCTTGAAATATTCTCCCATTTTGCAACTGAATGCATGAGCTCTTGCACATGGAAATAGTTTAGGAAAAGGAACTGGGTATGTAACCATGCAGGATACAAAGCTGCAATGCACTTGCAAAACAATTCTTTTGCTTCCTTTCCTTTTGCTACTGGCAAATAAGTCTTAGTAAGTAGGCAAGAGTCAGATCTTGCTAAAAGTGCAAGGCAGCAACATAACTCTGGAAAACAGGGATGCAAGTTCACGTTGCCTTCCTCCAGAATACAGTACAGGGCCTTTTGATAAATTTCATTTATTTTTAAGTGTAAGCTTCTGTTTTGCTGCAAGGAAGAGGGCATCCTGGAATAGGGTTGTCCCCTCCCCACTTGCTCCGCTAGGCAGGTCAATATGCAAATTGGATATTACCACCTCACTTGGGAGCATGGTCTTCCTTCCCAGTTCTCTCCTGCCTAGCTTCCCGCGCAGGGCGGGTGACGGGTTCCTGTCCTCCTGTTGCCTGAGAAGAAGAGGTCTCCACAAATTCGTTTAAATTAGAGCAGCCAAACATGTCTTTTTCAGTGTCTCAGCCTGCTGGACGGCTTTTCTCAGTGGATTCTTCAGATGGGGAGTTTGTGGAATCAAAGGTTGCTTCCCACAATACAGGCTTGCTTACTGGAGGAAAAACTTCCAAACACGGGGGGAACAGGATGGTTGCAAACTGGTTCCTAAATGCAGACGTCGGGACAGGCGCCCCATCAGGAATAGTCCTGTCTGTGAGTTTGGAGGGGCATCAAATAGTAGCCACTTAATTTTGCTTAGATGCTGCAGGGCATTTGAGATACCATTTCAACCCATCCATAGACTAATTCAAATTCTCAGGCTGCCATGTGTGGTCACCAGATTACGAAAGGTGTTGATGAAGCCTGCCTCACCAGGTAATAAAACACCTCACCCCTCTAGCCTGGTGTCACAGAGGAGGAAGTTCAGATGCCCCCTCAGTCCTCAGATTTAAGGAGAAAATCTTCCTGCCAAAGAAGGTAGAGAGCTTCGCCATCAGGAAGAAGGATAAGGCGCTCCAAACCTATTGCAAACCAGCACACAGAAGCATGCTCTGATCTGCGGAGGATACGCCATGAGATTCTGCATCCCCTTGCATCCTGAAACAGCCGGGCGGCTCTGCTGCACGGAGAACATCCAGGCTGAAGGCTCAAGCGAGGGTTTCCTCAAGAAGAGCCGAAAGAGTTCTAGTTTCCTAGTTTCGAGACTCCGAAGAAGTCGGGCTGCGGACCGTCGACATCAGGTGAGACTTGTAGGTCTTGCTCAGGCCGGTCATCCAGAATTTCAGCAGCTTCACGTTGTCCTCTTCGGCCGCTCCCAAGATGCTCAGCAGCTTCTGGGTGTCTTCTTTCGGCCTGCTGTCCACTTTTGTGAATTTGAAGAGGACCTTCACTTTGCTGCAGAGGGAAAAAGGAAAGAACGTTCATACGCAGCCAACAGTTCGAGTAGTGGAATGCCGTATAATATTCTGTCTCTAAACATCTGAAGGCAGCTCTGTACTGGGAAGATTTTTAATGTTTAATTGTTTTTATATAAGTTGGAAGCTGCCCAGAGTGGCTGGGGAAACCCAGCCAGATGGGCAGGGTATAAAGAATATTTATTATTATTATTATTGTTATTGTTATTGTTATTGTTATTGTTATTGTTATTGTTATTAAGCTGAGGGTTTGATAAAGCCTCTGAACACCCATTGCCATGAATCAGAAGCAGGGGAAATTGCTGTTGCATTCAGGTCGTTGCTTGCAGGTTTCCCAAAGGCATAGCTGTCAACTTTCAGATTTAAAAATAAGGGATCAGCAGCCTCACCTGTCCCGGAGACAGTCTACGGGATATCTAACAATCCGGGATTGCAGCGGGAAGCAGTGGGAAACAGCGCTGAAATAAGGGAATTTACTGCAAAAAAAGGGAAGGTTGACAGCTATGCCCGAAGGCCTTTGACTGGCCACTGAGAAAACAAGGTGCTGGGCTTAAAACAGGGCCCTGGCCTCATCCAGCAACCTTTTTCTCAAGGCCCCTGGACACTTACTTCATCCACTCCTCCTTAAGGCAGACAAGGCATTGGTCCACCACGTCCACAGAGAGGTTCTGGTTCGTCAGGGCCGCTTCAATCTTGTTCAAGATGGTGGGACCAACTGGAACCGGAAAGAAAAAGACTTAGCTGTGCTGCACTATTAAGTGCTCTGGAAGCAGGCAGTGCAGCATTGGGCAAAAATATGTACTTACAAAATTTCTATCACATGCAGGTAGCAACCTCCACAAAATCCACCTTGTCCTTTGGCACAACCCCATGGCTTGCATTGTAGGGTCATTAATCCAACCCCTGCAATACAGGAATCTCAACATGTGGTCCCCCATCCCATTTGAAACCATACCGGACCCTGCTTAGCTTTGCAAATGTACTAGGAGTTTTACTGCTGCCCCAAACTCCCATGCAGATACCGTATTTTCCCATGTTTAAAAAGGTAAAGGGACCCCTGACCATTAGGTCCAGTCGTAGATGACTCTGGGGTTGTGTCACTCATCTCGCTTTACTGGCCAAGGGAGACGGCTTTTGTCCACAGACAGTTTTTCCGGGTCATGTGGCCAGCATGACTAAGCCACTTCTGGCAAAGCCTGAGCAGCGCACGGAAACGCCATTTACCTTCCTGCCAGAGCAGTACCTATTTATCTACTTGCACTTTGATGTGCTTTCGAACTGCTAGGTTGGCAGGAGCAGGGACCGAGCAACGGGAGCTCACCCTGTTGCGGGGATTTGAACCGCCGACCTTCTGATCGGCAAGCCCTAGGCTCTGTGGTTTAAGACTAGGTTAAAACTTGGGGTCATCTTATACACGGATAGTGGAGAGATGCAATTGGTGGCTGCCACGAGCAGGATATTGTCTGTGGTGCTTTTGCGGGTGATTGGTGGGTGCTGCAAGGTCTGCTGGCTATTGGCTTCTGCGGCAATTGGGCAGGCGACTGGTGCTTGCTTTCGGCAAGCATGCAGACAATTGGTGGCATCGCCAAAAACCGTGCGATTGGTTGCTGCGTTCCTGCGGGTGAGCAATTTTCGGCAACCCCACCCCCCAAAGAAAGCTCAACAACTCTGGGTAATCTGCCCATTCTCTCTATTTGGAGTCCCAAAAAAGAGGGGGCTTCTTATACATGGGGGCATCTTATACACAGAAAAGTAAGGTATTTCATGCCACAAACTTGACATCTTTCCACAGAGCCTGCAAGACAGAGCTGTTCCACCAGGCCTTTGGCCAAGGCACAGTCTGACCCCCTCTCTCCTTTTGTAATCCTCATAGAACTCTGGCCCAATAGTTGCCATTAATTTGATTCTGAATTGATTTTAGAATGAAGTGATTGTGATTTTATGTAAACTGTGTTACTTTTACTGTTGTTAGCCGCTCTGAGCCCGGCTTCAGCTGGGGAGGGCGGGATATAAATAAATTATTATTATAATTATTAAACACGACTTCTCTTTTTGCATACCTAATTCCTCTCATCCTCCCTCCCCTAAAATAAACAACAAGACGGTAGGTGTCTCTGATTTATCGTGGTGACAGCCGTTTCAACATGGCTACCACAAAGGACTCTGTTCTTGTTATGGCACGCTACTTACCTCTGTCTGCTGCCACCGGGCTCCCACTTGTGACCACAAATTCATATTTGCTGAGAGGCTGCTCATCGTCAAACAAGACAGGGTAGAGGCTCGACCGCGTGGCCGTGCGGACTTCCACAAGGACGGTGAACTCTAAAAGGGAAAGAAAGCTCACACTAGAGTTTTGCAAACAGTTTAACTCACCACAGCGCAGCCTTTGAGACACGTCCCTAAATTAGTCACAGGATTGTTAGTTGCCACACCGAGAGACAGTGCAGTAGAATGGTTAGAGCAGGCATGAGGAACCAGAGGCCTTCCAGATTCTGGACTGCTACTCTCATCAGCCTGTCGTGTCCAACGTTAGTCACAAGAGGAGACCCACTGAAATCAATGGACAGGGCTGCTAATGACTAATGATGGATTCAGCGCAGAGATTGTGCAGGAAAATAAAGTAAAATAAAATCTAGCATTGTAAGCTTTATCCTGATGGGGTAGCGAGCAAACATATTGATGTACAGTGGTACCTCGGGTCAAGTACTTAACTCGTTCCAGAGGTCTGTTCTTAACCTGAAACAGTTCTTAACCTGAAGCACCACTTTAGCTAATGGGGCCTCCTGCTGCCGCTGCGCCGCTGGAGCACAATTTCTGTTCTCATCCTGAAGCAAAGTTCTGAACCTGAAGCACTATTTCTGGATTAGCGGAGTCTGTAACCTGAAGCGTATGTAACCTGAATCGTATGTAACCCGAGGTACCACTGTATACATTTTTGGACAGCCTACAAAGGAAGAGATGTGGGAATAGTGTGTGGAAGGGTATTGTTAGGAGAATCTGTTTATTGTCAAGAGCGTTTGTGCAGGAAAAAACTCCGCCTTGACCGGCCTGACAAAAGCAGACGCTGAATTCTTCCTGCTGAATCAGGGATCCGGCTCTGATCATGAAGGCATGCTTTTCCTCTGAGAACATGGCTTAATTTCTACGCATGGGTAAAGCTAAGACAAGGGGGTGCCTTTATATACTTGTGTATCTTACAGGCTTGTGGACTCCACCTTTGTCAGTTCCTAAGCTGCTACTGTTGTCAGGACCAAAAAAAGCTGTCTTAAACATCACAACTGGAGCGATTCATTGAAGAAAATCTAATACAATGGGGTTTTTTTGGGGGGGGGAATCCCACATGAAAAACATGCAAATTCAAGAGGATCTGTTTTAAGTCTACCAGATCACGTTTTACCCAGATCCTTTGGGAAAGCAAAGAAGCAACTGGAGAGGAATAGTGCCCATGGCGGTCTCTCAACATTGCAAGTGTACCACAAGCAGGCCTGGATTTAGGTTTGATGAGGCCCTAAGCTACTGAAGGTAATGGGGCCCTTTATATGTCCAGCTGTCCTTTGTCAACAACAAATTGTCGCTGTTTTTTGTGTTGAATATATGCTATATGGTAATTTATGGACCTAATATGTATCTAAGGGTGGCGCTGTGGTCTATACCACAGAGCCTAGGGCTTGCCGATCAGAAGGTTGGCAGTTTGAATCCCCGTGACGGAGTGAGCTCCCGTTGCTCAGTCCCTGCTCCTGCCAACCTACCCTGTGAGGTAGGTCAGGCAGAGAGGCACTGTCTGGCCTGAGATTGGTGAAGGAGTGGGTGATTTGAACTCAGCTCTCTTTGCCGATCAGAAGGTCAGTGGTTCGAATCCCCGCAACGGGGAGAGCTCCCATTGCTCGGTCCCTGCTCCTGCCAACCTAGCAGTTCGAAAGCACGTCAAAGTGCAAGTAAATAATAAATAGGTACCGCTCCGGCAGGAAGGTAAACGGCGTTTCCGTGCGCTGCTCTGGTTCACCAGAAGCAGCTTAATCATACTGGCCACATGACCCGGAAGCTGTCTGAGGACAAACACTGGCTCCCTCGGCCAGTAAAGCGAGATGAGCTCCGCAACCCCAGAGTTGTCCACGACTAGACCTAATGTCAGGGGTACCTTTACCTTTGATAGGTATCTAAAGCCATTTGCACATAACAAATAGGAGCCTACACAACACAAAACACTGTTGCTGTATGTAGGTTTTATTTTATTTGTTTTTTATCTTATATTTTGGAAATGCACATCCAGTCCCCCCCCTTTAAATTTTTTTGGAGTCCCCAAGAGAGTGGGGCCCTAAGCTATAGCTTGTTTAGCTTATACGTAAATCCAGCACTGACCACAAGCCCCAAAATGTGCCCCCCCCCGGCTACCTGGTACTTTTGACTGGAGACACCAGGATCTGACACTCTCCACCTTCTGCCTACAAGGAATGTGTTCTACCACTGAACTACAACCTGAGCTTTATTCTTTCATGTTGTCTCAACTGTCCTTTACCCACACTAATCCCCAAGGCAGCTTGCGAACAAATCAGTAAAACACAGATGAAACGCATACGTATTTTGGGCGGCCATTCCATCTCATCCCCTACTCCGCCATGAAACTCATGGGGCCTTCTTGGCAGTGGCGCCTTCCCTGTGGAACGCCCTCCCATCAGGTGTCAAGGAGATAAGTAACTATACAGTGGACTCTCGGGTTGCAAACATGATCTGTGCAGGAGGCACGTTTGCAACCCGCAGCGTCCGCAATCCAGGTTGCGATTCAGCACTTCTGCACATGCACAAAGCGCGATTTAGAGCTTCTGCGCATGCACTGAAGCCTGGAAGTAACCCGTTCCGGTACCTCCGGGTTTCGGCGCGTCCGTAACCCGAAAACGCACAACCTGAAGCATCTGTAACCCGAAGTATGACTACAACTTTTAGAAGCCACCTGAATTCAGCCCTGTATCAGGAAGTTTTTTATTTTTGACATTTCTGTATGTGCTGGAAGCGGACCCAAGAAAAAGGAAAGAGGTTAAGGTGCTCTTACCAGATGACAGAATGTGGGGCGGGATCTGCACGTGGGGAGCGAGGCCCAGAAAGTTGCACCGATAAGCCTCCTCGTATTTGTCGCTGTAGGGGATGATCCGAACGCAGCCGATGGGCAGCATGGTCTGGCAACGGAAAGGCAGCAGGGTGAGAACCCGCCCCAGGCACAGGTTTCGCTCTCGCAACCCGCAGCTCTGCGAGTCGGCAGCAGGCTGGAAGGGGGCAAGGGCTTTCTGCATGCCCCGCCCCCTTCTGTGACATCAGGGCAGCCCAGCCAATCAACGCCAGACACCTCTCCGCCCCCAAGATGCTTGGGTCCCGGGTAACGGAGAGAAGACACAACTCTGGCGAAAGGGCGGTAGCTCAGTCGTAGGGCACCTGCTCTGCATTCCGAAGGTCCCGGGTTCGAATCCTGACATCTCCCTGCAGGGCTGGGAATTTCTGAAGTCCCGCAGAGCCCCTGCCAATCAGTGCAGGCAGTAATCCAGGTGGACTGAGGGTTGTGACAGGCAGATTCTTAGGTTCCTACCCGAAGCGAACGTCGAAGGCCGGACCAGACAAAGGTCTGCATCCCGTGCTTTCCAATGACCTGGTTCCCCATCGAAGCACACGCCCGCCAACATGCGGAAAGCGGAAGGCCCCCAGAACCTAAAATTCAAGCGGGGTAATAATAATAATAATAATATTAATTATAATTTATTATATAACCCGTCTCAAGCCTCAGGGGTAACAAAATAAATAGTAACACATTCTACTTTCTTATATGACCTTTGTGGCATCCGGCTACGTTTCTTGAAGCTGCCAAAGGAGCACTGTGCCCCTGAAAGCCTGGGGAAAGTCTGTTTGTCCTAGGAGCAAACTTCGGGGAGCAGGCAGAAAAAGCCCCCAGGCCTGACAAGAAGTTTCACCAGCATCTTCGGGCTTTTCACAGGGGGGGAAGGGACTGGCGGCAGTCAGTCTGGAAAAGCCACTAGCCTCTCCTTAAAGGTGCCTCTCCAGGGGAGAGTGCACAAGGTAAAGAGGAGCACGCAGAGTGGATGACCTCCTCCTTGCTCTTTAAGCTCTTAGCCGCAGCTGGAGATTACTCCGGCTGAAGGTTCGCGGCTAGCAACCAGCAGGTATATATTTTTCGGTCCCTTCTAAAACTAGGGGCCTTGTGTCAGGGCGGAACGTATTTTTTGGGGGGGCGGGATGGAATCGAATCCTCTATGCCCCCACAAATCACCCATAGATGCCTTTTAAATAAAAGCACATTCTAACTCATCTAAAAACACACTTGATTCCTGGGACTGGTCCAACGGGCCGGAATTTAGAAGGTGACTGGGCCCGGATCCAGTCCCCGGGTCCCTTTAGTTTGTCCTACCCATGCTTCAACCAGTCATCTTTCCACAGCGGCCTTCCAACTCAGCCGCCTATGTTCTGCAAACACTGTCCCTTTGGCTTACTGTTGTCATGAATTTAGAATACAGGCGAAATCTTTAAACGCCCTGCATTTATAGGGGCTGGGGCGGGCATGGCAAAAGTGGGCGTAGCCACATTGCCTGATGAGGAGCGGTTGAAGGGAACTGGGTGTTTAGCCTGGAAAAGAGGAGACTGAGAGGAGATAGGATAGCCATCTTGAAATATCTCAAGGGCTGTCCCATGGAATAGGGAGCAAGCTTGCTTTGCCTGCTCTGGAGGGCAGGACTCGAACCAGTGGCTTGAGGTTACAAGGAAGGAGATTCCGACTGAACATCTGAAAGAATGATGGTAGGAACTGTTTGACAGAGGAACAGACTTTCTTGGGAGGTGGATTCTAGTTCCTTGGAGGTGTTTAAGCAGAGGTTGGATAGCCATCTGCTATGGATGCTTTAGTTGAGATTCCTGAATTGCAGAGGGTTGGACTACATTACTCTCTTTTATATATACAATTAATTTTTGCATTTTCAATTTGACATACAATAAGCAAAAGGAAAGTAAACAAACACAATAAAAACATGAAATCCCCTTTGTCTTTCCTCCCCGCCCCTTTGTGGGGATCCTCATATAACGATTTCCCCTCTGCTTCTCTTCCGTAACTCTGTTACGATCAATCCTTTGCCAATCCATGGTTCCAATCTTCTGCCGAACCTACCAATGAATGTCATTGTTTACAATAATTTTTCAAACAGATCACAAACTTTCCCCGTTCTTTATTAAATTTTGCCTCTTCCTGGTTTTCTAACTCTTCCTGTTAAGTTTTGCCATTTCAGTATACAGTCATACCTCGGGTTACAGACGCTTCAGGTTGCGTTTTTTTGGGTTACGGACCCGCTGAAACCCGGAAGTACCGGAATGGGTTACTTCCGGGTTTTGGCGGTCACGCATGCACAGAAGTGCTAAACTGCGGGTTGTGAACGTGCATCCCGCACGGATCACATTCGCAACCCGAGCGTCCACTGTAGTTCATCAATTTTATCTGCCACTCTTCCTTGGATGGAATTATTCCTTCTTAATAATAATAATAATAATAATAATTTTTATTTATATCCCGCCCTCCCCAGCTGAAGCCGGGCTCAGAGCGGCTAAACAGTAAAATGATAAAACATTCTAAAATCATTTCATTATAAAATTAATTCCAATCAAATTAATGACAACCATTGGGCTAGAAGTTCTGTGAGGATTGCCAAAGAAGGGAGTCATATTGCTAAACTACATGCCACACTGACTATTCTAATTTTTTATACCTCAAGTCCATGTAGTTTGCTGTTTTTCAATAATACACAGTTACAGCAGTGTCGTTGGTTATATTTTAAAAGACTGAATAAAAACAATGCCCAGTCTAAAAATCAAGAAGGCTCTTGACAAATTTTGAAAAAACAAGCAACATATACATAATTTATTATTTATACCCCGCCCACCTGGCTGGGTTTCCCCAGCCACTCTGGGCGGCTTCCAACAAAACACTAAAATACAATAACCTATTACACATTAAAAGCTTCCCTAAACATCTCTGGCCTAGCAGAATATGGGAATAAACAGTTTCATCTGATCAGATGGAATAGAAAACTCTTGGGGTCCCTTCCAACCTCATAATTCTTTGTTTCTATGAATTTTTTTTAAAAAACGCATGCTGGCCTCAGGTCAGGACCTCGCCTGTACCTGTCTGAGGTGCCGGAGGGACCGGAAGCCCTGGTTCCGGGGCGCCATGTTCCAGTTGCTGCAGTCCAAGGTGAGGGAGGAGTCCGTGGGGCTTTTGACAAGCTCTCGGGATTCCAGAGCGTCCCCCTGGCTTGGAGCTTTCCCTTCCTCCTCCTCAGAGTTGTCCCAGCCTTCCGATTCTTCCTCAAGATCTCCAGGAGAAAGGAGAGAGAAAGGCCTTAAGGAAGGAAATCCCATTTCCATGCTCCTTCTGAAGAGAAAGGAGCTGTTTGCATACATGCGTTAAGCAGCGAGTGTGGTACTATGCTGGTGCTTAGAAAACACAACGAAAGCCGTGTGGGGTGTTTGGGGAAGGAAGAGAGGGAGGGGTGAGAGAAGAGATGGGGGGTCTAGTGGGGTAGGAGAACTGGGGGAGGGGGGAGGAAATCACTTTTGGTAACCAATGTGTCCCTTTGGTATTAGATAGTACATGGGTAAAAAGGTAAAGGGACCCCTGACTGTTAGGTCCAGTCGTGGACGACTCTGGGATTGCAGCGCTCATCTCGCTTTATTGGCCGAGGGAGCCGGCGTACAGCTTCCGGGTCATGTGGCCAGCATGACTAAGCCGCTTCTGGCGAACCAGAGCAGCGCACGGAAACACCGTTTACCTTCCCGTCGAAGCGGTACCTATTGATCTACTTGCACTTTGACGTGCTTTTCGAACTGCTAGGTTGGCAGGAGCAGGGACTGAGCAACAGGAACTCACCCATCGTCAGGGATTCAAACCGCAGACCTTCTGATCGGCAAGCCCTAGGCTCTGTGGTTTAACCCACAGTGCCACCAGCATCCCTAGTACGTGGGTAGGCAAGTCCAAAAAGCTTGGGATACAAATTTTCCCGGCCCTCTAGCAGCTTTGGCAGCTCAGTTACCAGAAGTCATGTATTTAGCATTCATTCTAGAAGCATATACTCAATTCTGACCAAACTAAGCCTCCTAGAGCAAAATATACCTCAGGGGGCCTAGTTTCGTGAAAATCGAGTTAAACATTACTTCTGATAGATGAGCCCCCTAACTGCTAGAGGACCATGAAAATGTGTCTCTCAGGCTTTTTAGACTCGTTTCCTCATGTACTGTCTAAAACCCAAGGGTGCACTGATTACCAAATGTGAAATATATCAGCATTATTTTCAGCTCACCTACTGCACGAGAGAGAGAGAGAGAGAGAGAGAGAGAGAGAGAGAGCATGATCTGAGTCAGAGACAAGGGAAGGAAAGGTGAGATAAACCGTATTTTTCTGTGTATAAGACACCCCCTATTTTGGGGGACTCCAAATTAAGAAAACACTCCTCAGCACTACCCGTGTATAAGACGAGCCCCAATGTCAAACCTATTTTTTAGGTTAAAAAACCCTAGTCTTATACCCGGAAAATACGGTACATCCAATATATACATAAAATCAATATATAAACCCCGCAAGGTAAGAGGTAAAGATCCAACACGGACTTAAGGCCAGAGTTTCCTACTCCAAGCTCAGCACTCATTCCTCCCAAAAAAAATTGGGGGGGGGAGGTAGGGGGTGGATGGGGGTATCAGTTTGCATTTTTTAGAGTATTGATCTGATGTGCAGAGATCTTTCCTATTCTGATTAATTCAAGACGGTCTGGAAGCTCTCTGTGTGAAAGAAACAAGCAGAAGGTTCCTGATATTTGGGTTATTCCTTCAGAGAAGCTGAGTACAGCTGGCTTAAACTGGTCCTGTCTTTCTGTCAAGGTCATGCTGACTATAAAAGTAAGGCCAGAAGGAGCCTGGCTTTCACTTCTCTTTCTATCTCTCTTCCTTTTGGTGTGGTGTTCTGTATATAGTGTTAAGGTTTAGACTTATTGTAAGTTCAAGTTAAGTCTGCTGCAACTGGATTTCTTATGGACAGTGCCAGTCTTGGTTGTATTGGATTTGTGACCATTACTGCTCAGTTGTCTTCAGTACCAATTAAAAGCTCTGCTGGATGAAATACAATTGCCTCTGGTCTATTTTGAGGGAATCCTGCAACGCGTTTTAAGTTTTTACTCAGCTAATTGTACGTTGAGGTTCTGTTCTAGATCAATGTTGAGTAGAACTGCATGACAACCGCTCCTCCACCCAACACTTTTTCCAACTCAAGCAGCCGTAAGCCTTACCAGCCAATTTCTCCATCTGAACAAGGGTATCCTCTGTGGGCGCACCTTCCAGAAGCTTCTCTGTCAGTCTGCTGCCGCATGCCTTCAGGAGCCTGAGGAAGCGAGAAAGGACCCCGGATTTAAGTAAAGATGGCACAGGAAAAATGTCACCTCTATGTATCAGCTGCGAGCGGGCAACGGTTTCAAGTCCTTCCGGCAAATGTCTAGTTCCCTGCTTTGGGAAGCAGACTCCGCGGATCCTCAGGCCTCATCCGACGCAGAATCCATTACAACAACAACAACAATAATAATTTATTTGTACCCCGCCCATCTGGCTGGGCTTCGCTAGCCACTCTGGGCGGCTTCCAACAAAGATTAAAAATACATTAAAATGTCACACATTAAAAACTTCGCTGAACAGGGCTGCCTTCAAATGTCTTCTAAATGTCAGGTAGTTATTTATCTCTTTGATATCTGATGGGAGGACGTTCCACAGGGCAGGCGCCACTACCAGTGTGGTGTAGTGGTTAAGAGCGGTAGTCTCGTAATCTGGGGAACCGGGTTCGCGTCTCCGCTGCTCCACATGCAGCTGCTGGGTGACCTTGGGCCAGTCACAATTCTTTGAAGTCTCTCAGCCCCACTCACCTCACAGAGTGTGGGGGAGGAAGGGAAAGGAAAATGTTAGCCGCTTTGAGACTCCTTAAAAGGGAGTGAAAGGCGGGATATCAAATCCAAACTCTTCTTCTTCTTCTACCGAAAAGGTCCTCTGCCTGGTTCCCTGTAGCTTTGCTTCTCGCAGTGAGGGAACAGCCAGAAGGCCCTCAATTTTATCTGAGACTTAATCAATGCAACAGAATCCAAGGAAGTTGAATATTCAACTAAGATCTTTCCTTGGCAGTTAAGCACGGCTGTCGTGCTATGTGAGCAGGGCCAGATTGAGGTTTGATGAGGCCCTAAGCTACTGAAGGTAATGGGGCCCTTTCTATGTCCAGCTGTCAACAACAAATAGTCGCTGTTTTTTGTGTTGAATATTTGCCCTATGGTAATTTATGGACCTAATAGGTATCTAAAGCCATTTGCACATGTTGCCATGCAACCAGTCTATGCAGAATGTAGGCACCCTATATATAGAAAGGAACAAACCAGTGATATTTTAGGGGACAGGCTAGCTGGCAGGGCCCATGACTTACATCACAGGAGCCTACACAACACAAAACACGGTTGCTGTATGTAGGTTTTATTTTATTTGTTTTTTATCTTGTATTTTGGAAATGCACATCCAGTTTTTTTCCCTTTAATTTTTTTGAGGGGGCGCAAGAAAGTGGGGCCCTAAGCTATAGCTTGTTTAGCTCATACGTAAATCCGGCACTGTACGTGAGAGACACACAAAGTGGGTTACCAAGCAAAGGACGTGTGTAGGCAGGCCCACAGGTTCTCGTCGTTCGTCAGAGAGGTGAGGGAACGAGCGGCGTTTCCGTTCCGCTGGTGCAGGAAAGGCGTAAAGGCCGTGTTCATGCGCTGCGCCCGCTGGGGGCATCCGTACTGCTCAGCTTCAAAGACCTGCAGGACAGACGAGCGAGAATGAAAACGCACTGCCTGTGAGGAGGAAATTATGGCTTGCTGTAAAACTGGACAACAACTTAGTAATGGAGGGAATGGAAATTAAGAAGAAAAGATGTGGCAATAGGAGGAAGAAACGGGCATATGTTTGCAACAGAGTGGGAAACCTGATTTGAAGAAATTGTATTAAAGTAATTTGGACGGATTTGTAATAATTTGGAAAGCTAATTTAAAAATTATATTTAGAAACAGAATGAAAATGCACTGAACCCTTTTGTTTTGTTTTGTTTTTAAATAAATTTTATTAGTATTTTCCACACAACAACACGAAAAATAACAATACACAAAACACAAAAACCGACATTCAAAAAAACAAAAAACAAATCCATATCTTACAAGTTAATAACATAAACACTAAAAAGAAAAACAAACATTGACTTCCACCAATCCCACAGCACCTCCTTGACCTCGCATTGTGTCTTCCTGTTTTCCTGATCATCTCTATCCTAGCATCCAGATATAAATCCCTCTTTCTTATCCTTTCACTTCACAAGGTTATTCCAGACTCAGCCAGATTTCTATCCTTGAACCTTGGCTTTTAAGGTAGCACTGAACCCTTTTGTAATTCCAGACCACGCATCCTTTCCCTCTTGGTCTCTTTTATTATTGACTCAGTTCCCAAAAGCACGTTGGAATGAGAAAGTCTTCGAAGGACAACAGAGAGGGAGCCAGTCAAATCTCTCTAGGGCAGGAGTTCCAAAGTCTAGGAGCAGGCACCAAAAAGGCCCTCGGTATAGCTATATCCTATACCAAGCCTTATGAGGCACAGTTGAAGGAGCTGGGTCTGTTTAGCCTGGAAAAGAGGAGACCAAGAGCAGATAGGGTAGCCATCTTCAAATATCTCAAGGGCTGTCACACGAAAGAGGGAAGAAGCTTGTTTTCTCCTACTCTGAAGGGTAGGATCCGAATCAGTGGCTTCAGGTTACAAGAAAGGAGATTCTAGCTAAACATCAGGAAGAACTTTCAGGCAGTAATAGCTACTCGACAGTGGAACGGTCTCCCTCAGGAAGTCGTGGGCTCTCCTTCCTTGGAGGTTTTAAGGCAGAGGTTGGATGGTCATCTGTCCTGGATGCTTTAGCTGAGATTCCTGCATTGCAAGGGGTTGGACTAGATGACCATTGGGCTCTACTGTAGCTAACTCTACAATTCCATGGTGCTATGACTCCCTTTTTCGGCAATTGTGACAACTTCTCCCTTTTCTGAAACTAATTTTTCTTCCCTTTCTCTTTTCAGCAACCTGCTTCTTCTTATTAAAATTCAATTGATGGAGCCCAGTGATATCAAAGTATCACCCCTACATGAAGTTGCGGGCAAGATTTAAAATATTAGCAGCGAGGCACATACCTCCACATGTGGTGGAAGTGCCCCAAAATCCAACTAGTCTGGACAACAACCATACGAGAAATAAGTAAAATAACCAAGCAAGTATTAGAAACCACCCCAGAATTGGCCTTACTAAACATCTTCCGAGACAATAATGCCCACTTACACCACAAAGAACTCATAACCCACCTACTTTCAGCAGCCAGAGGCATCATAGCCAGACACTGGAGAGAGCTGTCAGGAGTAAGCATGGACCAATGGTACCAAATAGTATGGGAAACAGCCTTACTAGAAAAATTAACCAATAAACTGAAACTGGCACAGGGACAAATAGAAGAAGACACCTTCACCCCCCGTATGGCTCCCCTTTATCACACACACAGCCCAACAAGATAATGACAAAAACCCACCAACAGCATACAAATCAAAATGGCTAACCTGATCCAAAACACCCACCCACCCCCCACTCACACACGAAAACAAAGACCACCACAGCCAACCACAAATGAACAGCCACACCCCAGGCCAACCCCAACCTCTCTCACCACCAAAGGAACACAAGTGAACAACAAAGAACCTGCACAAGCAACGCTGACACCAAACCCTACATATAGTAAGTAAAATAGAAACATCGCCACCCGACCCACCCCACCCATATTTCCCCCCTCCACCTCTTTCCCCCTTTTATTCCTAATGTCTCAACAAATGAAACCGATTTGTAAAAATGTTACATGGGGGGGGGGAAATAACGAGAGAGAGACATTGCACACACTTTTGCAAATCAAGAAAATCTTGAATAAACAAATAAATATATTAGCAGTGAATTACAGAAAGAACCAACGACAGTGAAGTTTAGATAATAAAAACACGTGTATTGTAAAACAGCTAATAAAAATGATGTTTGTATATATGCTGTAAGATGCCCAGGATGGCTGGGGAAACCCAGCTAGATGGGCAGGGTATAAAAAAAAATCAAATTATTATTATTATTATTAATAAAGAAATAAAAAACAAACACCAGGAATGGAGGGGTGAGAAGACAAGGAAGTTATGTTGGGGGGAAAGGGGTTTGTATATGACGATAAATGTTTTGGAACGTTTCTGGAGATTTAATAAAAATGGTATTTTAAAAATTCAGTGAAAAATGTTTGGGAGAAACAGCTGCAAGCCCCAAGCTTGCTCTCACCTTGAGCGCTTTGCCCTGAAGCTCGTCGATGATGCCTCTGACTTTGCCCAGCAGGAAAGGCCAGGAGTTTATGAGGTAGATGCGGTCCATCATGATGGCAATGATGCTATACCAGCGCTGGAAGCCGCGCGCCAAGCTGTCTTTGATGAAGAAGGTGTGGCTGAAGACGAAGCCGTGCTGCTCGTCGCCAAAGAAGATGGGGCCTTCGCGTCCCGGGCAGACCTGGAAACGGGATCAAACTAACACTAGAACCTGCGGACATGCAGTGGAGCTGAGCGCTGGAAAATTCAGGAGACATAGAAGGAAGTACCGTTTTGGCCCGAATATAAGCCGCACTTTTCCTCCAAATTCCTTTTTTTTTTAAAATTGATTTCAACATATAAATTATAAAAGGTACCACAAAGCTTATCACTTATACAATCTTTTTAGACCTCCATCAGCACCTCTGATGATCCACCGTTTTAACCACTTCTTATGCATTTCTTAACTTAATACTTCCTTTACATCTCTTAACAAATCATCCTTCCCCTTCTCCATTTTTGCAATACTTCCAATAATACTCCTCACAAAACTTCTTGCAAACCTACAAACGTCGTCTGATCTTTACAAATACTTTTCAAATAATCCGTAAATTTACTCCAGTCTTCCGTGAATTTCTGGTCCCGCCGGTTTCGAATCCTTCCTGTTAGTTTATCTAATTCTGCATAGTCCATTAACTTCATCCTCCATTCTTCAATCGTCGGTAATTCTTCTTGCTTCCATTTTTGGGCCAGTAATATTCTTGCTGCTGTTATTGCATATAAAAAGAGCTTATATTCCTTTCTATTTCTTTCTCCCCAAATTCCTATCGTGAAAAGTTAAAGTGTGGCAGCTCCCCCCCCCCCCCGAGAACAGCCCGGGAGTGCAGGGCAACAGAGCCCATCCCGTCTGTGGCTCCCTAGCCTCCCCCAAGCTGCCGAATTTTTAAGGTGCGGCTTACTTGCGGGTGCGGCTTATATTTGGGCCAATACGGTACTTGTTTATGCAGTGCGGTTCATCTGTGGAACTCCCTGCCACAGGAGACAGTGATGGCTACCAACCAGGGCAAGAGGACCAGGCAAGTTCGTGGGGGAGAGAGCTTGCAGCGTTTGGGACTTTTCAGTTCAGAGAAAAGGCGAATAAGAGGTGACATAATAAAAGTTTGTAAAATTATACATGGCAAGGAGAAAGTAGGTGCATAATTTTTTTCCTCCCTCCCACCTAACACTAGAACTTGAGAACATCCAAAGAATGCTTAGGACAGATAAAAGAAGATATTTATTCATGCAGCATGCAGATGATCAACCACCGATCACTTCCCCAAATAGTGAGCGAGGGAGATTTGATTTGATTTGATTTGATTCATTGTATTTCTAGCCGCTTTCATTCAAATGAATCCCAAAGTGGTTTGCAAACAATAAATAACAACATGGTAAACCAGAATAAAAAAGGTAAAGGGACCCCTGACCATTAGGTCCAGTCGTGACGGACTCTGGGGTTGCGGAGCTCATCTCACTTTACTGGCCAAGGGAGCCGGCGTACAGCTTCCAGGTCATGTGGCCACCATGACTAAGCCGCTTCTGGCGAACCAGAGCAGTGCACGGAAACGCCGTTTACCTTCCCGCCAGAGCGGTACCTATTTATCTACTTGCACTTTGACGTGCTTTCAAACTGCTAGGTTGGCAGGAGCAGGGACCGAGCAACGGGAGCTCACCCCGTAATGGGGATTCAAACCACCGACCTTCTGATCGGCAAATCCTAGGCTCAGTGGTTTAACCCACAGCGCCACCCACGTCCAAACCAGAATAGAACATCACAAATACAGCATAAATCATATAAAATAATGAACAAATCACCAATCCGACAATTACCATCTATAAAACAGCAACTGAAAAATAAAATATGTTTACACCATTACAACAAATTCGTATTATATGATTAACAAATCAATACAGCATTTATAATCTGTAAAACAATATTAACAACTTAACAAAATAGCAACTTTTATTAAAAAAAAGCTAAGCACTCTTCAAGTTCATACACACTCTCATAACTCAGAATCTTCCACTCTGTTTGGTCCATTAAAATACAAATAATGCACGAATGTTAAGCCAGAGGCTGCTTCTGGCAATTATTTGCATGGTATGTGGCTCACCTCACAGCTGAGGCTGCGGACGCAGGCCTGGCGCACGATGCTGAAGAGCTGGGGGTGGTTTGGGTGCTGGTGGCTGACGTATTTGATAGAGGTCTCTTTGTCGTGGCTGACGTAGCCCGGGTGCCCTGCAGGCAGAGAGCGGCACCCCTGGTGGCGGAAAGAGAAGCCGGAGTTAGTGTATGTCAGGGACCATGCTGAGAAGGGCTGCACTGAGAAATAATGGTGGGCGCCTCCCCTCCCCCTGCTCCGGATCCAGATCCCGAGTACTCCCAGGAGCAGGAGGACAGTATAGATTTAGAACAGCGGCTTGCAGAGGGACACAGATCAGAAGGCAGTAGCTGGGAAATACTGGATGGGGAACAGCTAGGAGAAGAGACACTGGAAGTGAGAGGGTTAACAGATTCACAGTCTCTGGGCAGCGTTGACACCCCCTTCTCCAAAGTCACGGAGAGCTCAGAAAATGGCAGAACAGAAAGCACAGAGGACACGAGCTCAGATTACAAGACGTAGAAGTAACGTAGATTAAGGGGGTGTAATCCTTAATTGGGAGCACCGCCATTCTAGGAGATGTGTTCTTTGTTCTCTCGCTGTGATTATTAAAGTTTCTAACTGGTAAGAAGACTCCTTTTCCTTTGTTCTGCTTATCTACTGCCACGGGGGGGGGGGGGGAGGAAGCCCTGAAGACTGACACTGTTGGAACACCACAAGGAAATCTATTTCCTTCCTTAGGTAAGGGGTGGTGAGGAGCCTCTTAGATGGTTTCCCATAATAGCTGCAGCCCATTTAAAGGAGCCTAAGAACCTTGAGCTGCGACAATGGGTCTTGTTTGCCTGGTTAGAGAAGTGGAGGAAGGAACCCCTCGACTTTTACATGGCTGGAATATAGTGCCCGTTCACAAGGCAAGAATCAAGCACAAAGCTCCATTCACTTTTAATACTACTACTACTACTACTACTACTAATAATAATAATAATAAAATTTATTTATACCCCGCCCTCCCCAGCCAAGACCAGGCTCAGGGCGACTAACACCAAATATAAAAACAATTGATTGAAATATAGCTTAAAAACAAGATTAAAATACAACATTAAAATGCAGCCTCATTTCAGTGGAAACTCAATCAAAAACTTTTGGGGGAATGAAAACGTCAAGTCTTCACCAAGGCTAACTATCCAGACTGGTCCTACATGGGCCAGAAAAAAGCCAGGGAAGTCCCCAAATAGGAGTTCCATCACAGAAGGAGAAAGGAAAAAAGAAAAAGAAAAAGGGGGAGGGAATCCAATTGATTCCAAGCCAAAGGCCAGGCGGAACAACTCTGTCTTACAGGCCCTGCGGAAAGAAATCAGATCCCGCAGGGCCCTGGTCTCATGAGACACAAGCGTTCCACCAGGCTGGAGCCAGTGTTGAAAAGGCCCTGGCTCTGGCTTCCTTAGGGCCCAGGACATCTAGGGTGTTGCTATTTATGGACCTTAAGGTCTTCCCTAGGGCTTATCGGGAGAGGCGGTCCTGTAGGAACGAGGGTCCCAGGCTGTGGTCCTTTTGCCTTGCACGTGGCCCCCAGAAAGTCATTTGTGAGAGAATGCGGCCCTTCAGCTGAGGAAGGTCCCCACTCGTGATCTAGACACGATAAGGGTATAAGAAATCCATTTGTGTCACAAAGGATATATCATGGGGTGCAAATTAGTTTCCGGGCCCAATTCACAGTGTTGGTTTTTCACCTATACAGCCTTATGGACCCCAATACTGCAAGGACCATCTCTCCCCATATGAACTGACCCAGACCCTGCAATCACCATCTGAGGCCCTTTTCCACATGCCCCCTTCTTAGGAGGTCCGGAGGGTAGAAACACGAGAACAGGCCTTTTAGGTGGTGGCTCCCTGCTTGTGGAATGCTCTCCCCTGGGAGGCTCTCCTGGCACCATCACTGCAGATCTCTAGGTGCCAGGCAGAAACATTTATTTTCCACCAGGCCTTTAGCTTTCAATCACCATATTTTTCGCTCTATAAGACGCACCAGACCATAACAAGATGAATTTTAACAGGGAGAAATGTAAAGTATTGCACTTGGGCAAAAAAAAATGAGAGGCACAAATACAAGATGGGGGACACCTGGCTTGAGAGCAGTACATGTGAAAAGGATCTAGGAGTCTTGGTTGACCACAAACTTGACATGAGCCAACAGTGTGACGCGGCAGCTAAAAAAGCCAATGCAATTCTGGGCTGCCTCAATAGGAGTATAGCATCTAGATCAAGGGAAGTAATAGTGCCACTGTATTCTGCTCTGGTCAGACCTCACCTGGAGTACTGTGTCCAGTTCTGGGCACCACAGTTCAAGAAGGACACTGACAAACTGGAACGTGTCCAGAGGAGGGCAACCAAAATGGTCAAAGGCCTGGAAACGATGCCTTATGAGGAATGGCTAAGGGAGCTGGGCATGTTTAGCCTGGAGAAGAGGAGGTTAAGGGGTGATATGATAGCCATGTTCAAATATATAAAAGGAAGTCACATAGAGGAGGGAGAAAGGTTGTTTTCTGCTGCTCCAGAGAAGCGGACACGGAGCAATGGATCCAAACTACAAGAAAGAAGATTCCACCTAAACATTAGGAAGAACTTCCTGACAGTAAGAGCTGTTCAACAGTGGAATTTGCTGCCAAGGAGTGTGGTGGAGTCTCCTTCTTTGGAGGTCTTTAAGCAGAGGCTTGACAACCATATGTCAGGAGTGCTCTGATGGTGTTTCCTGCTTGGCAGGGGGTTGGACTCGATGGCCCTTGTGGTCTATTCCAACTCTATGATTCTATGATAAGACGCACCAAGTATTTGAAAGAGGAAAACAAGAAAAAAATATTCTGACTCCCAGAAGCCAGGACAGCAAGCGGGATCGCTGCACACGGGATTGCTGTACTGTCCTGGCTTATGGGATAGCCGTGCGCAGCCTCTCCCACGCAAGGGGAGCCTTCATCAGAGTGTGTGTGCGGCTCTTGGGGGCTTTTCCCGCCTGCATTTGCTCCATAACACACACACACACATTTCCCCTTAGTTTTTAGGAGGGGAAAGTGCATCTTATGGAGCGAAACATACTGTATCTACGGTGGGTGGGATGTTATAATCTAAGCTGCCATACATCAGGAATTTCTAGGACATAGCCAGGATTCATCTGTCGAAAATGGTGTCCGGGTGGAATTTTCAGAAAATGGCAAAAATATCCGGGCGTATGGCAGCCCATATCGGAAGTGTTGGGTTTTTTTTGGTGACTTTCCTAAAAAATAGGTAAATAAACATTTTTTTTGGGGGGGGGAGATTTTGCAAAACAAAAGCTATTATTATGACAACCTTATTATAATCCAGCTTTATAAAAGCAGAACTGTCTTTTGCTTTTGTTTTTCAATGCTGGTTTCAAAATATGAGTTTGCTTATTTCTCCATTCTGAGTCACTATTGAGTTACTATGGTTAAAGAATGACCAATAAATTTAATAAATAATAGCAAGAAATCCTCCAAGTATTCACACGGGAGTAAATTCCACAGTGCTTGAAGGTGAAGACACACAGTCTTCCACTGACAGGCAAGACACTTCCATTCTGGTGCAAGAGCAGCTCACGGTCTCAAATCTACTCGCCTCGCACATGTCGGACTTCTTGGGCCCTGGGCTGCTGGAGTCGGCGCTGGCACCTTCCGCCGGGCTGTGGGACCGGATCCTGCTGCTCATCTGAATGCCTCCTTCCTCCTCTTCTGCCTGCTCACTCTGCCCGGGGCTGTCTCCGCTGCCCGCCCCTTGCGGAAGAGGCGAGTGCAAGACCTCCGTGCAAAAGAGGGTGCGAGGCCCGTGCAGCTCACAAAAGTGGCAAAGCACAACGATGGCGTTCATTGCGACTCCCCGGCAGGAATCCCTGGAAAATCAAGAGAGAGGCGCAGGTCTCGAACACAGCCTTTCCAGAACCTGTGCCTCAAAAAAGAACCCACTCGCATTCCTGGAGGAGCAAAGAGCAGCATTTTCCGCACTCTGCTCCCTGAAAAACTGGCAAACTGTCCCCTAGTATGCCCTATATTTAATATATTATTTTCTAATATTTATATCCCGCCTTTCTACAAGGAATAAGGCAGCTGCCAACATGAAAACATAACAGGCAAAGCTCCTTGATAGTGGAGTGGGATGAACTCACATAAATTGATATCAAGATGGTATACAGTGGTACCTCGGGTTAAGTACTTAATTCATTCCGGAGGTCTGTTCTTAACCTGAAACTGTTCTTAACCTGAAGCACCACTTTAGCTAATGGGGCCTCCTGCTGCTGCTGCACCGCCGGAGCCCGATTTCTGTTCTTATCCTGAAGCAAAGTTCTTAACCTGAAGCACTATTTCTGGCTTAGTGGAGTGGGTAACCTGAAGCGTATGTAACCTAAAGCGTATGTAACCGGAGGTACCACTGTACATGATCCCCCCACCTCCATTTCCTCTTCACAACAGCCCTGTGAAGTAGGCTGGAACACAGGAGTTGATCCTAAGGTCAGCTGTAAGTTACACAGCTGAGCAAGGACTCCAAGTCTCATATCCCCAGTCCTTGCCCAACCCTGCAACTCCTACGCAACACTGCCTTCCAGTACAAAATGAAACCGCATTGCTTAAATAGGTAAGTCAAAGAGCATTATAGCTAGCTAGCTATAGCACCAGGCACCTCTCAGCTGAGTCTCCCCCCAAGACTTGAGCTCTTCTTCTCACCCCTTAGCTCTTCCCAACCCCCCTTCGTGTGTTTTCTCCCCTTGGGCAGCTAGGCAGGAGCAGTTCACCCTGTTGAGCTGCGACCTGTTTCAATATCATTTCTGGTTGCTTGTTAGCTTCTACCAGCATAATAAGCCAATGCAAGCGAGTCTAGTCAAAAGTGCAGCACAGGGAAGTTTTTAAAATGCATAAATTCTGGACTGGGGACTCCCCATCCTGCTTGCCTTGAGTTCTAAACATGCTCGCTCCTTCTCTCTGCAGGAAACTTGAGCTCAACACGCATCCAAAGAAACACCCCCAACCGACCATCCCTAGCCATGCTCTGACATTCCCAAGCATTCCCCCAAGATCTTACCCCTTTGTTCCCTCCGCAGGTGCAAAACCAAGCTCCTAGTCCTGAGTGAGGTCGGCTTCTATCGCGGGTCTAGGGACAACATTCTAAACCTCGCTTCCGCCAACCTTCTATACGCATGCGCAGCTGTCCAGACTTCTGGTCCTGCCCGAAGCGCCTGACACTGACTGAGCGGGACGTACCATTAGGCCCACTCTCCAAGGGGGAGGCAAGCGAGATCTAGTCGCTTTCATTAAGGCCCCGCGAAGAACAAAGGTACAGAGGGGAGGGCGGAAAGGACAGCTACGGAAAAAACTCAGTTCCAGAACCTCGTATGTTAGCCTCCAGGCATTCTCCTCCTAATCGTCACTGATACCCCCTAGAATAGGAAAATGATCTCGCCCTCGTCTACTCCAGCCTGGAGAGAACGGGCGGGTCTATCTATGAAAGAGGGGGGATGCGCAGTAATATTTCCGCAATACAAATCTGGGGTTCGTACCGTCTAAGGAAGAATATGGAGGCAGGAAGGCTGAAAATCTACTGGGAATAAGGAAGGCGATCAGAGCAAGTGCCTCTCAGTCACGGGCTCTTCTTTCTGCTCCCCCCCCATGCCTTTAGGGAGATGTTGCGAGCCAGAGAGTCCTGTGACAATCATGTGACAGAAGCAACGCAGAACAACAGAGTCACCTGAAGAGGGGAAGATGCTTTGTGAAAGCAGATTGGGAAATGCTGTGTCTTTAGTGCAATTGTTTTATTTATGTTTTATTGATTTAATATGCTGTAAACCGCTTTGAGATTTTTCTTAAAAATATGAAGCGGCATAGAAATTAAAAAAATAAAATAGATAAAATAAATTGGGCTCCATGCCCTGGTGACTTCCAGGCTGGATTACTGCAGTGCTCTCCTCGTGGGGCTGCCCTTGAAGACAGTTGGTCCACAATGCAGCTGCCTGGGGTTCCCTTTAGACCTCACAGAATCCCGTGTTTTCCAGCCACGCAAAATCACCCGGGCTGCGAAACGGGGATGTGGCCTGCAGAAGGGTTCTGGGGGCCAGGTGGAGAGATTTGGAGGCCACATTTCACCCCTGCAACTGAGGCTCCATAACCCTGGTATCCAACTACTACAGGGAAGGAACAAAGGGAAGTGGCCCAAACTGCTCCCAAATCTCGTACCTTGTTTCTCCTAAGCAAACAGTGACTGGGAGCCTGAGAGCAAATGTTGGCTTTTGAGAAACAAAAGCATCAGGTTAATATCGGATACAGGTAAGCCAATGGGCCTCAAACCCTTGGTGAGTTAGGGACATGTCCTGCATGCATATACAGGCTCTGGTAGATTGAGTGTACAAGAGCAACATTGGGTCCAACGGTCAAGAAGGCGGTTTCTACATGAGATGGGAAGGTAGCCCATCTGGGAGATGGCAAACTCTGGTCCAGGGCTGTCTTAAGCATATGCGGCACCAGGGTGCAAAGATCCACCCAGCGCCCCCCCCCCCCCGCTTGCCCAGTCCCAGGCATACAGGAGGGCAGAACCAGCCGGCCGCCTCAGCATCTCGCTGGCTCGGTCGCCCCTGAACTCGTGGCGTAGAGCTGCCCGCAGCAGAAGAGCCCGCTGCGGTGCTCCGACCGATGGGTGGGCTCTTCCCTGGACTCAACTCTCGGGCCCCAGACTCTCAGCCTGGCGCCCCTGAGAGCCCGGTGTCCCGCACCCCTAGCGCCTATGGGCAAGACAGCCCTGCTCTGGTCCTAAGCCTCCAGTGCCTTATGGCTACACTCATTTGTGAGAAAGGCTTTGGGAGTAAACCGCAAGGAAGAATCCGTACTCGTTGCCTTGTGGGACACCTTTAGGAAGAAAAGGGCTAAGGAGTAAACCCAGAGCGGGTGTGTGTGCCATTATTTGGTCTAGGATCTGATACAGCTACATATATAAGAACAAAAAGCATGCTGGATCACACCATATCCAAAAAGGAATTCCATGCAGATGAATAAGGTGGTTGATGAAGGAAGGATGCAGGGTTCCATTGCTCTTCTGCACCTAAGATATACACCAAGCACCCGGCACAGAAACAGCAGGCTGCTGCAAAGCAGACAGCGCACTCCATCCCTTTTTAGTGATTCCAGCAAGCTGGTAGAAATGTTTTGCAGACAGTAACAATGGTAGGCTTGTTTGAAGGCTGCATTATCATCATGGCTTATTGTCGCAGTAGCATCATAAGAACGTAACACCAAGCAGATTGGAGCATCTAGCCCAGCATCCCACAGCGGCCAGCAACATGGGTTGGTGAGCCTCCGCAAAACCCACAAGCAGGACATGGGAAGAACAGAAGGCAAACCGGATGGATCAGGCCAATGGCTCATCTAGTCCAGCATCTTGTTCTCACAGTGGCTGACCTGATGTCCGAGGGAAGCCTGCAAGATGGACATGAATGCAATAGCAACTCTCCCCTCCTGTGGCTTCCAGCAACTGGGATCCAGAAGCATATCTGCCTCCGACTGTGGAGACAGAGTAGAGCCATTGTGGCTAGGAGCCATTGCTAGCCCTCTTCCTCCATTAATTTGTCCAAGCCTCTTTTAAAACCATCCAAGTAGATGATCATCCCTGACTCCTGCGGCAGCGAGTTCCATATGTTTAACTGTGTGCTGCATGAAGAAATATTTTCTTTTATCTGTCTTCAGTCTTCCAGCATTCAGCTTCATTGGATGTTCACAAGTTCTACTGTTATGAGGGAGGAAAACATTTCTGTATCCACTTTCTCCTTGCCATGCATAATTTTAAAAACTTCGATCATGTTGCCTCTTACTTGCCTTTTCTCTGAACTATGGTAAAGGTACCCCTGACCATTAGGTCCAGTCGCGGACGACTCTGGGGTTGTGGCGCTCATCTCGCTTTACTGGCCAAGGGAGCCGGCGTTTGTCCGCAGACAGTTTTCCCGGGTCACGTGGCCAGCATGACTAAGCCGCTTCTGGCGAACCAGAGCAGCGCACAGAAAAACCATTTACCTTCCCACCGGAGCGGTACCTATTTATCTACTTGCACTTTGACATACTTTTGAACTGTTAGGTTGGCAGGAGCAGGGACCGAACAATGGGAACTCACCCCATTGCGCGGATTCGAACCGCCGACCTTCTGATTGGCAAGCCCTAGGCTCTGTGGTTTAGACCACAGCGCCACCCGTGTTCTCTGAACTAACAAGTCCCAAATGCTGCAATCTTTCCTCATAGCAGAGTTGCTCCATCCCTTACATAGCATATTGGAAAAAAACTTGGAAGTCTTGTGTGTGATCTTTTTTATTCGTCACTAAATAATACAGGGTTTTTTTAAAAAAGCTCCTCAGTACTGACCTGTCGCAGCCATGCAAAACAAACCCCACATCTCTCCATATTATACAGAGTAATCCTGTGACAGCACACATAAGACAGCTCACAACGCCACTGAGTAAAGGAAAACTTCTGCAACAGAACGGTTTTTTAAAAAAACAACAACACTAGGATGGAAATGGGAAGAAATTTAATGTAAACTGAAGGTGAAACTGTTGTGCAAGGTGCACACTGCAACATTGCTTTATATGGCATAGTACAGATTGTTAAAACAGCTGCAGATTTTAGCTCTGTCCTTTATGAGTCTCTGCAGGTCAGAGGGCAGCTGCGTTTGAGGCAAGCAATCTTCCACTTGATTAAGGATCACAAAACCAAAAGGATTTTCAGATTAAGCTATAGATCACACAGGCCTTTCCTTCCAGTCATTAAAGAAGAGTCCAAGGTTGCTGAAAGCAGCCTTTTCCCAACCTTCCAGATGTTTAGGTCACAAATCCCATCAGCCCCAGCCAGCGCAGGTTGTCTAAAACATCTGGAGAGCTCCTAGTTGGAAAAGGCTGTTCTATAGATAGTAAGGGGAACTTAGTCTCCTCCAGGTGTAGCAGGACTGCATCTCCCATAATCTTAGCCGTTCTCGGCTGGGGCTGATGGGAACTAGTCTAACATCTGGATAGCCTAAAGAGAACTTAGAAATACACCTCAACCTCTGTTATTGTTCTGTGGGATATCAAGTACGATGACGACTGCCATAGCACAGGAGCAACAGTTGCAAACTATGGAACAATTATGGATGGAAATAAACTCGGAAAGATTTATTTGGAAAGACAAGCAAATCAATCAACCCAAAATTGTAAGGGCTAAAAAATAAAGGCGGTGTTTTAGATCTAATAAGAATTTCATGCTAATTGCGAATACTGAATTTCATGTTGTGAATCAAGCTGCAAGCCTCTTTGAATCTTACTTTCGCCACGAGCTCAATAGGTAGGCTTAGGAAAATTACCGAATCTCTGCCTCATCCCATCCCAGTCTGCGATGCCAGAATGAGTCTGCCCTACCTTATAAGCCTGTTGTGATGTTTACAACATAGCACACATGGAACACTTTGAATATTTTAATAGTGCCATACAATTATTAGCGAAGCATTTTCCACTGAAAGGAAGTCTTTGCTAGTTTGACTGCAAACCATGGCTTATGCAGTACGGTTTCTGCAAACCATCATTTGCAAATCGGGAGCTACCCTTGGGGACCTGCACTCCTTTCCCCCTTGCCTACACTAAATACATGAGCATGCATGTTATAATCGTGGTTCCTTTGCAAGCAACTTTTTAGGAGCAGGAATCTGCTTTAGACAGAGGGATCTTGCTGCTGTCTGCTTGGACTGGCAGCAGCTCTCCCAGGCTTGAGGCAGGGAGTCTTTTCCTAGCCGTACCTGGAGATGCCAATGAATGAACCTGGGGCAAACGCTCAGCACAACTTGCAAACCAGTGGTAACGTTGGGGAACCTAGTGATCAATCCTGCATGTGTAATTATAAGTCATGGTTGAAGCTGAAAAGTGGACGGCAAAACTTGCTCCAGCATGAGGTGTGTATACACAACAGGAATCATAGAACCCTAGAGTTCTATAAGAGAATGCAGGAATCTTTTGAAAGAAGACATCCCCAAAGCTGGCTTCTGCTTAGAAAGCCATCATTTACACAGGGAACCCCGAGCTACAGCTTTATCAAGCTGACTTTGCACATGCAAACTGCATGCAAGTGTCCAATAACTAGAGATTCTTCCCCCAAATCGCAGGCAGACTTCAGGGGCTGCAAGCAAGCGATTCAAAGTAACGCTTGAAGCTGAGCCTCAACATTAGAGCAGAGGCTGCATT